CGCCCCCACCTTCACAGCTGGTCCATTTCAACAGAGGAAAACCCACAACTGGAAGATGAGTGGAAAAGCGTCACATAAATGTATAAGTGCTCACAGCTCCGTGGGAATTATTATGTGCAATTCATTTCTAAAAGGCTTTCACATTACTATAATTATATTTTTATTTAAATGTAGGCTACATTTTACACCAAAACGGAACACAAAAGCAGGAACAACCATCATACATTGAATTCCTTGACTAACAAGAGAAAGATTCATTCATTTAAATAAATATTTAACCAGAAATGGGCCGGTTCTAAAGGGTTATTCAGTTAAGCCCGATGAGAGGGGATACAGCTGAGCACATGTCAACATTAACAGACGTTGTTTAAAAGTGACGTTTGAGGGAACGAGGACATCCCAATGAATACCTGAGGACTCCTTTGTCCTCGCGTCACCTCCTCCTGTCTCTCGCTCGCATCTTACGGAGGCGGAGCTAAGATGCAAGGAAGGGACGCGAGTGAGGCAAAGGAGGAGTCGAGGAGGGGTATTGGGATGAGGCTCTTATCACCTGAATCTCCTCCTAGAGCACCATTGTGTTCTTTGTAACCAAATATCTCTCAGAGGGGCGTGGAGAGGGGCTCCTTATTTTCATCTAAATAACAGACAAAGAATCAGCACTTTTGAAACAGGGCTGAAACAGGGGATTATGGGATGCTGCAATGATCTGTTTGGTGTTTGGAGCCAAACACTTCAGAGACATGTTTGTATATATCTGAGGCCTATAGTATATTGATGAATAACAGTATAATAGGGGACCTTTCAATAATCGTTTTTTAAAGATGAGCAAAAGACAATGAAAGTCTGTTTCTCACAATGGGAAATACTGTATATATATATATAATACAAAATATTCCAAGCAAGATACTGTGTTGAAATTAATATATTTCCCTCTGAATGTAGTAAGGCAGACAAGTAGTGACAAAGAAACCTACACAGAAATGCTCAAGAAAAGCCATGTTAAATAATAATTTGTAGTGAGAGCTGTCTGTCCCAAACCAACAATGTGTCTCTTTTCCTCAGATCCAAGCCCATATGTTATATATTGATCCTGTCCAAAAAAACACTTTAACCAGAAAAAACCCACCTAGAGTCAACAGGCCAAACCCTCCTTATAACCAGTGGTTAGTAGTACATTTATTCTAGTACTGTACTTAAGTTCTATTTTGAGATTCTTCTACTTTCCCTTTGTATTCTCAGTTTATGCTACTTTTTACTTCTACTCCACTACATTTTAGAAGCCAATGTCATACTTTTTACTACACTTAATTTATTTTTCAGCTTTTGTTACTAGTTACTTTTTAGGTTTAGATTATTAGCTAACACAAAGTCTAAATCAATTATTACACTTTGACATACATCTTTAGGTTAAGATATCCAGCAGCAGTACAACAAATATTCCAATGAGCTCCACCTTTACCAGTTGTGATAAAAACGTATAAATAATATTAACCCTGTAGCTCAATTTATATGTGATTCTAAAATGGGCCATTACGCATAAGGAGTACTTTTACTTTTGGTACTTTAATATTCTGATGCTTATACTATTGTACTTTTACTTAGGTAAGATATTGAATGCAGGACTTTTACTTGTAACAGAATACTTTTAAAATGTAGTATTGCGACTTTTACCTAAATACAAGACCTGAGTACTTCTTACACCACTGCTTTTCACCATAATAAAAAAAGCAAGCCAGACACAGGTAAGAGTGACTTACCAATACAGCCATGGTGACTTCTCTCAAGTGAGCTGTGTCAAGTTGAACGGGACTTCACATTTGTATAGTCAAATAATGGAGAGTGGAGCAGAGACAGAGCCTACCTGTAAAGGTCCTCATGGAGTCCTGAGTGTGTGTTCCTGTGCAGACTGTGACACTGTGGACAGACAAGGTTCACAGCACACACACACAATAAAAGACGCCTTCAGCCGGTGAGATGGTGACTCCTTTAGCCAGTCATATAGGTTAAACATTTACCGACTGGCAGAGAGGAGCCGACACAATGTGGTGGAAGAAATGTCTGTAGACCCAACAGTGTCCTTTCCTTCTCGTGGCTTTTAGGTCAAAGCCCATTGGTACGTAATAAAGATGTCTTTAAAACACCCAATATTGCTTTCTATTTAAACATTTCCATTTAATACAGCTGGTCACTTGAATTATCAACGTTACTCGATAAACACAACTACATTCAAACATAAGGAAGCTGTCATTACGCTTAGCATAACAAAGAGGTAACTATCCAAGTAAACAACAATGTTTATGTTTGATCTAATACATAATTCAACAGAAATAACTTAGACAACACTGTTTACATTATACAATTTAATGCAGCATGTTTCAATGACATGCCAGCAGTAATATTACAGCACTGAACATGCACCACATCATGCTGATCTGAGGATAGAACATCGGATATGAAATAAAGTTAAAATAAGGCAGCATTCCTCCATAACCTTTTTAACTTGGAGGGTTGAAGGCAGGTGCAAACAAAAACAGAAATAAGGTAAGAAAAAAGTAACTTCAAGAAAAGTTATTTGGTTCAGCCCTACCATTGATACAGTTTACATGTTCCACAACAAACCCATAGGAAAGGGATAGGAGTATCATGTGCTTTTGAAACCAGCTGGGTACTGGCCCTTTTTTTCATTAGGTAGTTGAACATGGGTTTTTACAAAACCCTATTGTCCATTAAACAAAGCAAACAAACTCAAACACAAGTAGATCTGCAAAAACTTTGACTAAAATTACAATATCATATTTAATACTTAAAATATTTTACGTTCTAGCAGGAACTCTAATCATAAAATAACTTTAATACAACTTGACATTTAATGCCAGCTTTTGGTACTTGGTACAGCTCAATGAAATGAAATGAAATGGAACAACACGTTTCAGTTTGTACCAAAAACCTACTTAGATGTTCAACATATAGTATAGAACAAACACATTTACAAGATCAAACCAAATACAGCTGTTGGTGGTGAAATAAGGCAGCCTGTCATATCAGAGAAGAGCAATAAACACACTTCCTCTTGAATGCAGACACAGTACAGTACATATTTGTTTTATTTTGAACTGAATGAGTCTAAGAGAAAACATGAAGGTACACTTTCTTAGCTCAATACATATATTTTAAAAGTTATATAAGGCTTTGCACATATGTGGCTGCATGTGACTCCGAATTCAGGAGCATATTAGGGAGGCACCAAGATGAAATCACTCGTCAGTCTCCCAGCTTAATGGACCTGATTACAAAATCACTGCAGCAGCCTTGTTATTTTACTTAAAGATTGACTTGTAACTTATACCCAGCATATTAACATTTAACAAACAATCTGCTTCAGTTTGAGAGGAAAACATATCAGATGATACCTGTTGAAATTCTTTAAAAAGGTCACCTATTATGCAAAATCCACTTTTCCATGTCTTTTATACATAAATATGTATAACAATGTTTTTTTGGGTTGTGCAACCATTAGCCAATAGCGCCCTGTTCAACAGTGCTGACCCAGAATCAGCACTTTTGAAACAGGGCTGAAACAGAGGGCTTTATGGCATGCTACAATGATCTGTTTGGTATTTAGAGACAAACACTTCAGAGACATGTTCTGTGTATATCTGAGACCAATATTGTTGAAAAAGAGTATAATAGGGGACCTTTAAAAACCAAATAGATGTAACTCTATCCGCCTCCCCAACCTCCTCTTGTGTTATCATGTAGTTGTATGTACATCAGAAAGTCTATCATATGTGTTCGTGTTCATTAAATGCACCTGAATAGTCAGCTCATTTTTGTTCCATAGCATTACAAAAGCATTACACCGCCAAAATGCATTTTGCTGCAATTATTGGTAAAAAGCTCGCTGTGAGTGTCCTGACTGCATTCTCTGTTAGGATTAAAACATCTCTGACAAAATGATAAAAAAAAGTCTCTTTGAGATGCTTGGTAAACTGTTGAATGCAGTCAGCTCTTTACAGTTATGAAGATGTAGCCCGTTTCACCTCCTGGTGTTGATGGCCCATTTGCTTTTTCCTGAGGATGGAGGTATAGTGTCCTTCTCCAGCATCCGTAGAGTCTGCCGGATGCCCTTCTCCACCCTGCGGAAGTGCAGCCTCTTCCAGAAACTCTGCTGCTGCTGACGGCCCCACTCCAGGTCCCTGAGGAACACCTGCAGGGGGAGGGGCTGAGTTACTGTCATGCATCACAATGGACTTCATGGAGGAATGTATTTGTATGCTTACCCTCTCAAACGTTCTTCCTTTGTAGTTAATGATTAAGGAAATACTTTCTTAATGCTATAAAGAGGCCCCCACTTATGTTTTCTCCTCCAAATTGAAGGCCAGCCCACTGAGAGCCCAATGCCTCCAAATCCCAGACTCTGGTAGTCTGCCCGACAGGAGGACGGTCATTGAAGCAAATATACAATATTCATGACAGCACTACTACAACTTCCATGTTAGTCACGTTACGCCGTTTTCCTCTTGACTGACGACGTCTTCAAATCAGCGGTTCATTTTTTAAAAGGTAAAGGCAAAACAANGTGTGCCTTGGCAGTCTCAGCAATATTCATGACAGCACTACTACAACTTCCATGTTAGTCACGTTACGCCGTTTTCCTCTTGACTGACGACGTCTTCAAATCAGCGGTTCATTTTTTAAAAGGTAAAGGCAAAACAACTTCCCAGTACAAACACAATAGCCCTTATTTAAATCATGAGGTCCCAAATGTTGTGAAATGCGCTTAATGCCGCCAAATAATTTTTGCACTTCAACATTTCACAAACAAAAATAGGTTGGCAGCCAAATACCACCTCAAACACAACATGGCAAGCATATTTATTGTTCCTTTAATCCCACTCTTCGTTAGAGCTCATTATTTCCCATTTCATGGCGTGTTGAGCCACCCTTTCATTTTTTGTGGCAATCATTTTTTCCAAAATAAATTGTATTTTTAATCTACTCTTCAAACACCTTAAATTAAGATTACATAATTAATATGTATTTTAGCCAGAAGAATAGTTGTATTTATTAACTGTGTGCGGTCTTCATCTAAAAGCCCAAATAAAATATTAAAGGGTGTAAATGTAAATTCAATATTTGCCGCCAAATAATTTGCAAACATTATGATTTGTGTGGAAACATTTTTTTTGTATTTTAACCTCTTTTCCTTTCTCTTTCTCGATCCTCCTTAGCAACGGTCATTACAGTCCTTGACAGTGGTCTGTTCCACTGGATTAACAACATGTCACATGTTCTGAATTGACCAATCAGAACTTTATTTAGACTCCGTATTGTTTATGGTTGAATGTGGGCCGCGAACATTTTTTGGATTCTTAAGTGGGCCCTGAGTTGAAAAAGGTTGGGAACCGCTGCTCTATGGGTTAAGATACTCAGCGTCTATTCTCCATGATGAACATGACCATTCATTCGATTGTGGGGTTTCACCACAAGAGGGCGCTTTTTCACAAAAACACCTTCACCAGCTAAAATAAGATAAGATAATGTTTCGTGGCAGCAGCATTAATACATTCTATTGCACATAATTAGAAATAAAAGGGAGTAGAAAATAAACAATTATACAATATAAACATCTCAAAATAGAAGATGAAAATATTCTAAAATATATATATTATATTCGAAAATATAAAAAGTTGACCGTGAAGATACAAATCTGTAAACTATATGACAAATAAAACACTATTTAACACTTTGTCTTGTTAAGCCGATGGTTCAAACGGTATTTCTCCAAGACATACATTAGTTGCACGAAACGTCAATAATGTTTGTGGAGTCAGTAGTCAATAGTTATTAATCACATATCAGTAACAGCAACATCTTTCATTTTCAGTGGTGAAATTAATTTGTATGCTTAACCTCATACTTTTTACCTTTTTAGTTAATGATTATGCAAATGTTTTCTAAATGCTATAGTCATAGTTTATGGACATTTAACTCAGATGAACTGTAGGGTTTTTCTTATCGCTGAGGTTTCTCTCTGACTTCATTACGTAGTTGTGTGTACCTTCAGCTGCTCCTTGACTCGTTGGCGGTCCCAGGAGGAGATGTTCTTCTGGATCACGCTGAGAATGGGGTGCCAGTCCTCGGAGAGGTCTGAGCCCTCGGTGACTGAAGCCAGGACCTTCACCCTCCGGCCGCTTTGGCTCTTGGGATCTCCTCGGACATACAGTGACTGCTTCCCCACGTCAGTGAGAGGGTTCAGGTACAAGCTGCACAACACACAACACACTACATCAACACCAAAACCTGAAGAGAAGATAGTGACACTCTTCACTACACTGTGTTGCAGAGCTGCTCACTGCACAGTGTGGATGCTGGGGTGCTCCCTGCAGGCGTCCACCAGAGTCATGGCAGTCCTGTCTCCGATGTTGTTGTAGGCCACGTTGAGCTCCTGGAGGCCCTTGTGCTGCTGGAGCCTCTCAGCCAGCTCTTGGGCCCCCCGGTCCCCCAGCCCGGTGTGCATCAGGGACAGGTGCGTCAGGGACTGGTTCTCTGGGAAGGCCTCCAGCAGAGTGCTGGCTCCAGACTCCAGCAGAGTGTTGTCACACAGTCTGAAGAACACGTTAGAATAGTCAGACATTGCTGGGCTATTCAATAATGCATCTATTGAAAAAAGTTATATTTTAAATCAAATCGTTTCATACAATCATACTAACTGGGGTTCATATTGATAAATACAAGTGGCCGGTGAGGGTGAGCACCAATTCCTTTCACTTCCTTTATTTATTATTTGTTTTAAAATAAATGTTGCCTGCATGAAACTGACGAGGCAAAGTATCTAGATGCTTCCAGTGGTCCATTTACGGAACATTTTAGTCCGGTTGTCTATCCCAAGGTCCTGATGTATTCCCCTTCACATCTGTACTTATGTTTTTTCACCGAAGTTCAGTGATTGGGAGAAGACAGGAACTGATTTTTTTTTAATATTTGACAATGGCCTGTGACTGCCTTTAACATCAAGCACATTTTCTGAAAAAAGCAGGACTAATGGACCCTTTCTTATGGGTAAACCATTTGAGATAAGGATCATTTAGGAGGCTGTGCTGGTACAGAACAGATGGTCTCACTCTATAATTGGTAGTAATAATACTAATAATACTAATACTAATACTAATAATAATAATAATAATTGGCATGGTAAAACGTGGTGTTTACTCATGATGTTGAAGGTGTGTTGGTTCACAATAACCACCTGCCTGCTGTTCATCCAGCAGCTAACTGCGTTTGATGAATTACTTTGTAATGTTTGGACCTGATCTGCAGCGCTGTTGATCAGGTCACTTTGAGTAACTCATTGAATTTTGTATATTCCAAACGAAAGACAATAGCACAGTAAAGAGAGGATTCCTTTGTACAGAACCCTTAAAGACATGAGTAAACGTGTTCTTACTGTAGGGATCTAATACAGCTCTCGGGGTCTAGAAGCAGATCCCTGAGGAGGATGCAGGACTCAGGACCCAGGCTGTTAAATTGCAAACTGAGGACAACAGAGACAGGCAGACACAACAATCACACACAGCATTCACATGCTAGACGAGAATGAGTCATTAGTAAAAATGCCTTTAAAACACATCTTATGACCCATTTATATCAATAAGGGTGGACTAAAAGCACAAGAACCTCTTTGGCTTAATGCCACATCATTAACCTGTTTGAACTGGTTTAACCATGTTTTACCACAGGGATGCCACACATTGACTCTCTATTTGGTTACTTTAGAGAAGTAGACTAATTGATGAGTCAATCAAGAAATAAAACGATTTAATAAAGAAATAATATATATTTAGAAAAAAACAAAACAGCTATTAATCAAATGAAGCCGATAAAATGCTAACCAATAAACACAGATACATGTTAGTAGACAACATGCCAAAGATATGTGAGAGTTCATAGACTTTTTCTCTGATTGAAAACATCACTCAGACATACCTCTTTGATTTACAATAAACTACAAATAAAACAAAACACACTGTAACTGATTAGGACAGATAAAGTAGTTCTACTGAATTCTAATCCGTCTGATGTATTAATATTGCTATGGTTTAACAAACACTGTTTAATTCTTAGTAATATTACAGTACAACCTTTAGCAAGATGCAAACAAACCACATATTTCCTTTGAAAAGGGCCCCTCTGTTATTCACTGCAAACCACAAAGAAGAGTGTTCCTCACTTGAGTTTGAATGTGTGTCTGAAGGCAGGCCACAGCATCGGAAGCCTGTCCTGAGTCAGCAGGCAGGAGGACAGGTCCAGCTCTTCAAGGTGATAACTGCAGTCAGACACCACAACATGTTTTGTAAAATGACAACACTAAACATACTAATTATATGCATTTCATATGCAGTAGATATAAACTAACAAACTATACTATAGCTATAATGTCTTCAGAAAGTTTTTGAAACTGAAATCTTTGCGCTGAACATCGCTGCCTATGGAGAATACTTCAATTAAAAAAAATACAACGGAGAACAGAGCTTTATTTCTTTATCATAACATATGATTTTACTAGGGCTATCAATGTTAGCGCCAATATGAAAATACCAGAAAATCAACTCTGTGTATCGCACAGAAGGTAACCACAGCGGCTCCCTGTGACAGTGGGTTCGTTGATGCTTTAGCTAAGTGACAGAAAAGGATCTGTCTTCATGCCAATAATTCAGAAATCACGTTATGATAAAGTAAGGAATCTTCAGATTTCTCTTTCTCAGATTGCATTTCATGGGTCATTTTTTAGATCAATTGACACCACTAGTTGTTTTTACAAGAATGCCGTGAGAGAAACCGTAAGACTCTACTATCTTCTGGTTTAAACGTTTCAGTAAGATTTAGTCACGGAAGTTCTCCCAATATTAAAACTGCTCTTTTGTTGTAGTTTCTTGATTGTTTTTTAAATTTATTTCTAATTGTTGGGTGCGAACACGATTTTCCAGCAGTAGGTATGGCCAAGGCTGTAATTTCACGAAGCCCAATAGTTGTAGCAGCAACTCCAAGTATACTCTTTTGGATCCACTTGGTATTAAACAAGTAGAAATCATAATATCTTACAAAGCCAGGAAAAAAATAAAGTACTAAACCCTAAACAGGTTTCAAATGAAGCGCTTTACCTGGCAGGAGTGCACGACAGCACAGAGCTCAGGACAAAGCACTTGAGTGAGGTCATACGGACGTTGGTGAGGCGGATGCTTCTGATCGAGGCCAAAACCTCTGCGGTCAGTCTGGGGTTCTGGAACTCATAGAGGAGGAGCAGCAGATCCATCAGCTCTTCTGGGGGCTGAGGCTGGCTCAGCTCTAGTATTAAATAAGACAAAACTTCAACATAATAAAAAATATTTGAGCGCAGGGGATCTTTCAGGGGAATTCTGATGTGTCAAGTTAACCTTAATAGACTTAAAGTACTTAAACAATCACTCAAGTCAAAAGACAAAGCACACAGTGTTTAACAAGACTGAAATGAACACATCTGTTACCTCTGACAAGGTACTTCCTGAGGGCATGAGTGATCTGGACCACAGTGGTGCTCTGAATGCTGCAGCCGAGTTGCTGGAGAAGGACACGGTTACCGTAATGCAACAGCCCCCCCATGAAGATAGGGTAGAGCTCAAAAGGCTGGGCCTCACTGATCTGCTGGGGCTCTGGGCCATGGACTCCCAGGAGGCTTTGCTCCACCTGATCCAGTACGTCCTCGTTGTGGCGATCCTCGGTGCGGAACATCTCGGCAGCCATGGTTCTGGCGATACTGCCTTGGTTTTTAATGCTGATCTTCTCGTAGAGCTTTGGAAAAAGCTTAAGGAGGTTGAAAACAGTGAATATCCGGAGGGGAATGAACTTAGAGAGGATGTTAAAGATGGCACTGACGTCCTCACTGGCTTGACCAATGGCCACAGACACCTGCTTGGTCATCTTCTCCAGAGCAGATTTGTTCTCTCCTAGAACAACGTAGAGAGCTGCCAGGTACTCCTGCATGGCCGGGACAGCAAAAACATACCGCTTCTGATCAATCTTACTGGGGTCTTCTGGTGAATGCTTGAAGCTTTCTACACAGGGAGCCAAGAAGAAGTCGAGCACATCAGTCCGGAACATGGCCAGCTGACGCAGCTCCTCATCCGTCTTGGTCTTCCCTCCTATCCACTGCTCCAGTTCCTCTTCTGAGAATGACGTGCGTTTGTTCGTCACGCCGTCAAACGCAAGTTTCCCGACTGTACGGACTACATACAACATCAGAGAATTGTGCTGCTCCTGAATGGCCGCATTTGTCCCTGTCCCTGTGCCAAGCACCTCCCCTCCAAAGTTGAGTCTGAGGAAACTGGTGTAGATGCCGGTCAGTGTGCGGATGGGTGCCTTGGCGTCTGTGAAATGGAGGAAGTGTAAGGTGGCACATGTGAGCCAGCAGTAGGACGGGAGGAAGCAGGCTGCAGCCAGCTGGCTCTCTCTCTGAAGGTTGAGGTAGAGTAGCTCTATCAGACCATGGGCCTCATTGTTATGTGCAGTTTCTCCAGTCTGCTGCATCAGGCGGCTGGTGAAGTAAGCTCGCTGGCGGTCCGGATCATTGAAGCCACAAATCTGGGCATAGCGAGTCACGTACTTCTGAGGGATACGGTCCAGAGCAGAAAGTCTGGTGGTAACCAAGACGCTGGCCTGGGAACATACAACAGCCAACTTATAAAGCCAACAACAACACATATTGAAATGAATACACTTAAGAAATAAACACAGATTTAAAGAGTACCTAGTATACTTTTGCAAACTTTTTGGCTTGTTCGGCCTTGGGTATTTTAATTGATTCTGCTTGGTACAAGAACACAGCATTTCTCTGTAGAACATAGAACATTGATAGTGATGTTGCAAGGATGCGTCCTAAAACCCAGAGATGAGTTAGCATTTGACCACTTCTGGTTCTCCGCTCAAAGTCAAAATGCTTCCCCTTTTTTGGAACATATATCCAGGGAAAAAGTTCAATTTCCTGATTCTTTTTGCCATGTTTTTGTTTTGTGTTATTTGGTCATTATTATTTGGTATATAATTGAATATTATGGATGACTGAAGGCTGGAAAGTGCTCTTGAGCTGTAGAAGACTAGGTTCCTTTTCTTAAAACAAAGAATTTGATTTTTGTTGATGTTGTGACAACTGTCATTATACTGTAGATAAAATGCCATATAAAAATCTAACACCAGCTAAATTGATATTGCTTTGGGTGCACAACGGAAAAAAAGATTCAGTTCAGTGCTGTCCTAAATAATATATTTATATGAATTGCTGGAGCTCACATATTTCACAGCTCCAGCTCTTTAATTTAAAACAGAATAAATACAGTATGAATATGACCAAGTAACACATAAAACTACAGACAATCTTTATTTAGCCCTTATTTAAGCCGTCCAGCTGTTTTAAAGGAAATGATCCTGCCCTTTACTCAAGGCTTTTATTGTGAAACTTCTACAGGAAGTGCTGATTACAGAGAAACAGAAGAGATGAATAAATAACATTACAGTGATTGTCCCTCACCTCAGGCAGGAGGTACTTCCTCAGCAGGTTGACCACCACTACACCTGGAGGCAGCACCTCATTGGGGTCACTGCAAAGCTCCGTGGCTCCAATCCGGAAGTCCAGTTTCATCTTCTCCATCCCATTGAAGAGGAAGAGTACATCCCTGGCCTGGTTCCCCTCCCCGCCCAGCAGGGGGTGTTTTTTTAGGTGGAGGTACTTCCTGCCCACAAGGTCCCTCAAGGAGACCGCCCTGTGATAGAGGGGATAATTCACTTTGTGCAATTTATTGCTAACATATCCAACGACGTAAACTAAATCTGGGCCACCGTGTCCATTTTCATATTCTAGAAGAAATTCTAAAGAAAATAGATTTGAAATCTAATCTTACAACCAGCTACAGCACTGATGTCAACATTATTTTTAGTTATGTTGTCAATATGCATTTTTATTTCCCATCTATCTTTTCTGAAGTGCTCCCGTAGGCATTTCTTCATTACTATATATATCTGTCTTACTTTGACAGTTGGCCCAGGTCCTCACAAGAGAAAGGAACCAGCAGCTTGAAGTGAGTCAGGGTGGCACCAGCGCACCAATCCAGCACCAGCTTTCGCACCACGGTACTTTTCCCGGTCCCCACAGCCCCGTACAGCAGCACGTTGAGGCCCCGGTCCTCACTCCAGGCATCGGTGGTTTCAAACAGCTGCTCCACGGTCACATGGCCGCTGGAGGGGGTCTGGGTTTGGAGAGGGGAAGTGAGCAGTCCTGCCCTCTCCTCTGCATTTCTTTCCAGGATCAGCGGGTCCACATGCATGGTCTCCGGGCTGAAGTAGCCTCCAAACTGTTTCTCCTCCTGAGGAAGGTGGCTGAACCACAGGAAGAGCTTCTTCTTGTGGATCTCTATGGCTTCTTCTGTAAGAGAGTAAAAAGTGAGCTTCACACTTTGAGTTGAACTTTTCCCAACTCCCCTTTGACATAAGGGACATATTTTCAGATTTCACAAAATACCCCGAGAGCTGCTTTTGACATGTACATTTTTCTAAAAGAGGTGAAATAGTGTAATGATGTTATTTGTAGTTCTGTTTAGGATTAATTACATAATCTTGCATAAATGTTTCAGTGTTCTCGCAACTTTTCCTTTGCATCAAGTCTTTTTGGAGCTGTGCAACCAATCCACTGCGTGTAAGGACACCTGTTCAAATGTAAAAAACCCACTTTATAATGGATGACAATGAACCATTCTGCACTTCAAAACCTGTGCATGTTAGCAGACACTAGAAAAACACACTAGGATAATGTTTTAAAAGATCTATGGGTAAACATAAGCAACTATTATAAAAGGCTATTGGAATAACTTAAAACACAGACTTGACTTACCACTGGTTCAACCGACAATACTACAAGGTGAGGTGAAGCTATGCTGCCTTGAGTTAGCATTATGCAATGCCTATTGCATTTACGCTTCTAAGTGGTGATAATATGTGGAGTCTATCCTGCTGTCGAACAAATGTGCAAGTATCATAAATTAGATTTTGCCACAGAGCTTATTTTTAGACATTTTCCAAAATCCAATGGAGAAATCATATTGAATTTGGTCGAGGGAGCACTTTGAGAGATAGAATTACTAACAAATCACTTATATACTAATAAAGGACTGGCTTATCTAAAGCCAGTTGAGTAGCACTTGAAATGTTTTAGCTCTATGAAACCTGATGTACTTATATGATTCTGTTTTCTTCAAGTTTGTATCTTCTTGGTCGAATGCACTTATTGTAAGTCGCTTTGGATAAAAGCGTCAGCTAAATGCAATGTAATGTGATGCTAACTTTTGGGTGGGCCTACAAAAATATGTCATCACTGCACCACTCCATTAAGACTACAGATAATGTAGCTATAACTAAAACTGTACCCAGAGGAGTATTGGTCATGAAAGCTGAAGTTCTTTTTACACTGTGGTCTCGGCACTATTTTAATGTGGGGCAACGAGCAATGAGAAACAGCGTTTGGACCATTGGTTTCTGACCTAGAAACCAGCTGTCTGTGTGGTATTTTGGGTCCCAGCTCGCTGCTACACAATAACCACACACACCTGTACACATATCACCAAGGTCAGCTATATCTCTGCTGTTGATAATGGAAACATTTGGTCATCCGAGTTGATTAACTGAACTAAACTTGTATTTTTTTAGATATATAACATTACTCATAACAGCGTGTCAGTCAGGAAACTTTTGAGGTGTGTAGTTTAGAAGAAAGTGAAGCCTAAGTTTGAAGATGGCAGCTTGAATAATGTTGGCAGGGAGGGAGGGTCTGACGAAAGAAGGAGCATGGGAAAGATCCTGAGTGTTTGGAGCCTGAGCCCTGACTGGAACTGAAACCATCTCTGCTTCTGCTGCATAGACTAAAACATTAATAATATTGTATCTGTCTCTGCTTCACTACTCTATGGAAGTGGAGTACTAAAGTGCTGTAGTGCCCCTTTAAGGGCAACCTGCTGCTGCTGCTAATAATAATACTTACATAACCACTACATTCACACAACATATTCAGCGTTAGCACTGTCCTGAAACCTTCCTCTGAATGCTAAACTCCAATCATGAAGTTGTTCAGAAACAAAAACTGTTAAAAATCAAAATCCTGTATTTACACTATTGTTACGACCCTGGGTCGTTAGGTCATTTGTGTGTATATTTTTCCCTCCTTCTGTGTCTGTGAGTGTGTTTGTGTTTGTGTGTGTGTGTGTGTGTGTGTGTGTGTGTGAGCAAGCAGGTGGTGCCCGTTAGCTGACTAGCTACCCTCGTCAGGCTGATTGGTCCACCTGAGGAGACAGGAGCATTTTAAGCTGCAGCCGTGCATATCCTCGGCGCTCTCTCTGACTCAACTTCTCCTACTCCCAACGTTGCGCGTGTTAAGATCTTTTGTCCTGTTGTGCTGTGTTCACACTTTAAGAGTATCTTGTCCTTCTCTGCTTGCTGTGAGCTGTTTCTTTACCTGTCTTTGTAGACGAGTTATTTTTCTCAGGAGTGCAGACCGCTTTTTCTTTCTTTTGGATTGATTGTTTTCTCCTGTTTTAAGTTAGAGTAGGTAAGAAGCCTGTATATTTATTTTTCTCTATTAGGTAAGATTTTGTGTTAAAGGTTAGTTCGTTTGTGTGGTTTTGTTATTCCTGTCTTGTTAATTTTGTATCAGACTTTCAGCATGTTTTTTTGTTGTGAAAGTATATTTTTGTTGGATTTGGTAAATGAAATTTACCAAACGACATTCTCTGTCTCGGCGTCCTTTGTCTTGACAGTGGGAAAAGTGGGGAGAGCAAACTTTGTACTGCGCCTAGGTTCCCCTAGGCCTGGGCGTAACACTATGAATATACCTTGTTTGTTTTTTACTGTTTTAGTTTTATGTCAGAAGGCAATGTTTGTTTTTTATTTTGTCAAAAATAAATAAATCACCTAATCCTTCAAAATTGGCAAATCTTCAAAAAACACAACATTTTATTTATTTGCATAATGTCATTTTTCAAAAATCCAACAGTTTTCAAAGATGATTTAATTGTTAGAAATAACATTTTTGAGAAATCACCTACTTTCTGTAAGAGCATCCTTTTTTGTGAATTAACCCAATTTTCAAAATTATTACATTTTTGAACTAAGAAAAATTATTTAAATGTTAAAGAATCATCAATATGTTGAAAAAAATCTGTCATTATAGAAATCTGTCATTTAAAAAAATCACCTTGTCCCTGAAAAAAGGCTTAATTGTGTAAAAATCAACAACATGGTTCAATTTGACTTTTGTCAAAAAGCAAAGAGGCTTCAAACGGAGTTGAGCACCTGGTCCTGAAGGGGGGGAGCAGAAGCTCCTGCAGTGAATTCCAGTGGCGGAGTAGAGAGAATACTCCGCCCTCCTCTTCCACCTCCATGCTCCCAGCAGCTGACTCAGCTGTCTGCGAATCACATCACACAGTCAGCATTGTTTACAATCTTTAAGATTAAAATCCACAGAGACGAGCTCTAAAGGTCATTTTAATCTCACAGTCAACAGGTTGCGGCAGGCAGACACACATTCCCCCAAGGCACTGCCATTTTAAACAGGCACGCACATTACACCCTGTAATTCTACTAAGGCTCACCCTATGATGCTTTTCACACACACAAAAATGTTAATTGCATGATAAGAACAAGTATTAAGGGAATTTCTTTGTCTAGAATGCTAGGTCTCATTAAAAAAACAAGTATTAAGTAATAATCTCCAAGATTGGCAATTGAAATACCATTCTGCTCAATCACCATATCACCACAAGAGGTAACACGACTGTTATTGCCCAATGGACTGTTTAAAGTCCTTGCACTTGCAGTACTATGAACTGTATGTCTTTTGCAACTTTCCTTGGAAAGGTAACACCGTTCATATTTCTGGGAAGTGTGATCATATGTCACACTTACAAAGTTGTAACAAATGTAACATAGCCTAAACTTTAATTTTTTTTTAAAGGTGGGGTAGGTAAGTTTGAGAAACCGGCTCAAGATACACTTTTTGTTTTATTCCATGGAATGCTCTTAACATCCCGATTGCAATGAATATCTAAAGTGCTTTGGCAACAAATCCATAAATAAATGTCCTCTGTGGAAGCCGTAGTACTGTAAAAAGCACGACCAATCATCTGAGCCGGCCCGGCTAAAATAATTGGATGGCCTACCTGCCTGTCAGCCTTCCATCTGTGCACAAACTTATCTCGTGCCCTCATTGGTCATGTGCGCGTTCGTGTGTGTTGGAGGAGCGGCTCTGTAAGGAAGTAGCAGATTTCTTCCGGCTGTGTATTTTCAAATTCTAGCGCACTCGAGCTGGTTTCTCCAAAATTACATACCCCACCTTTTATGTCAATGAGAGCCCAACCATTGACAGCCAGGGTTGATGTGAGCGGGGATTGATGCGTTCTAACTTGTACAACAGGTTTGGATGAGTTTTGTTGGCATGTTTAATCGCACAAATCCACAATCTCTTTCACTCTGGGTTTTCTTTCTTCGTACTCATTCCTGCACCTCTAAAGGGATGTGACCTCACAACTATGAAAAACAATTGGTCACCTACCTCTGCACTGAGCTCATCCTTCTGTTCTGCTGCCTCTTTGAGTCAAGGAGCACTCTGTGAAAAACAGGGAACGCACAAAATGTAGACATTTGTCATTTTCAATCAGGTAATCTTGAGTTTTTGGAATCATTTTTTAAACAGTGCTTTGTCTGTTGACAGAACGAGCCGTAGCTTGTCTTCACCTCTTATAATTGAAAATGTAGAAAGCTAGATCCTTCACATCCACATGACTTAATCTCTCAGAAACACCATCTAAAAAGGGAAATGCTTCAATTTTCTCTTAAATCCTGTTTGTTTGTCATAGCAACAAAGTCATTGCCCAGCAGCAGCAGCAGCGTTGCACCTGCCACAAGAAGCTAAACTGCCAGCGGCCACTATTTGAGCTAGCTCTGTCTCAATTATTGGGCAATCTGCTGCTCCAAACCTTATGTTAATTATTATTTAGAGGGAATAAGCACATCTGTTCTGTATGTTATATATTTGTTTGTTTAGAAATCATACGTTACATTGACAATGGAGAAATAAGTTAAAATCATGTTCAGACATGAATATCACTTGAGGGTTAATGCGCTGATCTACCAATCAGAGCGTCCTTAGGCAAGATACCTGTCCAAAAATTGCTCCCGCATGTTTACAGTACTGAAAAGTGTATTTGGGTCGCTTTGGAGTCAAACTCATAACATGAAGACAATAATGTGATATAAGTTTTAGACATCCATAGACACATCAAATAATAGCCAGAAAATCCTCAACTTTTTGAAATCAATGTGTTTTTTGCACAATATAACAAAATATATATATTTTTTTGTATTTCATCATATTTGACACGTCAGGCAAAACAATGTCTCAAAAACAAATATTGTTGATCTTTACATTTACAACATTTGAAAAATTTGAACTGATTTGGGTCTTTCTTAATTTTTTCAAACAGGAAACTTTTAACAACGTCCTTATTTCGCAAAACAAGGGAAAATGCTGTTTGATTGCTTTTTGATCATATTTGGAAGACACTTTTTTACCAACTGTATACATTTGGTCCAAGGAGAAATAAATTAAACTTAACAAAAACTTGTTTTAGCGTTTTGGACATGGTTTATTTGAAATGTCATTGGTGGGACAGAACATGTCCACCAATTCTGGAATGACCCATTAATTTCCAGACATTTCAATCTTTAGTTAGTTTAATTAAATCATCTAAACAGTGTATTTGCCATTGCGGAAGCATAATGTAAACTGCATCATGAAACTGGAGCATGAAGCCGCCATACCAGCAGCCGTCCGAACACTGTATTAGGCTGAGAACAAGGTGACAGTTACATAACGTTCAAACTGACAGGCGAGGAAGTGGAAAACTAAAGGACGTGACATTTCTATGGCACAAGTTCCCTGGACACTGGTGTTGAGCCAAGTCTATTAAAACATTAAAATAGAGGAAGGGAACTTTAGGTTACTGACTTAACGCTACTTAAACACCTGGCAATAGTATTTTAAGATACAGTTCGAATACATTTCATATATTCATTGCGTAGAAGCAATATCAGGAAGCACGAGTCAGTGTAGCTAAATGTTACTGGAGTCAAAGCTTAAGTGACTTTAACGTTATCATGCATGCTAGCGTATTATAAACATGTCTCTACCCCTTCACATGCTAAACTAATAAAGTTATGAATGCAAACCAAATTTGAAGTAAAATGTCACGGAAAATGAAACGATAGTAGCATACAGTACCAACGCCTTATAGTCCTGCGTCCTTGTCTCCCATCGGTGGCTGTGTCCGCGGACATTCAGGTTATCTTATCTGCCTTCATTCATTCATTCCTATTCATTACTCCTTATCGCTATCACTCCGTTTACTGACTGACTACCGTAACGCGAAAACAGAGAGGTACACTTTAATGTTCAGTTCTGTGTTCCGCTACAGGGGAAGTCCGGTAGGATTTTCAGAATAAAATACACTTCGACCTTCTTCTTCTTCTTCTTCTTCTTCTTCTTCTTCTTCTTCTTCTTCTTCTTCTTCTTTATTGGCGGTTGGCAAACCAACTTGTAGGTGCATTACCGCCACCAACTGGACTGGAGTGTGGACAAGAGACTAAGCAGAAAACAATAAACAAAACAAACAAAACAAAGAACCAAAACTCTAGATTATTTTAAATTGATCAATTTCTCTTAGAAACTTAATAATCTCACAATATATGCCTGATGTTTTCCCTAACAGTCCTGATAGCGACAAGTCATGGAATTTTGCTTTCTTCAGTGTCTGGAAAAACACATTTATCTGAGTACTATATTTCCTGCAAAGCAGTAAAACATGCTCAACAGTTTCTGGCTGGCTACAGTGTATACACTTTCCGGTTGGATGCTTTCCTATTATACTTAATGTATGATTGAGACCTGTATGACCTATTCTTATCCGAGAAATTACATTTTCCTCCCTTCTCCCACATAACTTTGAATTTTATAAAGATGTCTTCCTGTATCACTAAGGTCCCAATGATCTTGCCATGTTTGTGCATATTTCTGTATGAATGTTTTAACCTCCACTTTACCGAGTGGAACTTCT